AATCTGACAAGCTTTACTTTGTGGGTTATCCAAAAGAAACCAAAGGGTATTACTTCTACAACAAATCCGAGAACAATGTGTTTGTTGCTCGTGATGGTGTCTTCTTGGAGAAGGAACATCACTCCTAAATGACAAGTGGGAGGAAAATCAAACTCGACGAAGTTCGAGAGGACGAGCAACAAGGACAAGTTGACAATCAAAGTGCTTACCAATCAGCTGTTGACATTGGTCAAAGTCAAAATATGCAAAGTCAACCCGACAATACAAATGCTCAGTCCATTACCCTGCGTAGGTCGACTCGGCCAAGATCTCAACCTGACAGATATCTCGGTGTTGTATTAACCGAAGATCAGGACATCCTAGTAGTGGATGGAGATGAGCTGGCAACCTACAAGCAAGCTATGACGAGCCCCGACTCTGCAAAATGGCAAGAGGCCATGAAATACGAAATGGACTCCATGTTTGAAAATCAAGTATGGGACTTGGTTGATTTAGCCGCAGGTTACACACCTATCGGATGTAAATGGATTATCAAGATGAAAACCGACAAAGATGGAAATGTATTTATTTAAAAAGCAAGGCTTGTAGCAAAAGGTTACAGGCAAATTCACGGCGTTGATTATGATGAAACCTTTTCTCCAATTGCTATGCTTAAGTCCGTTTGAATTCTTCTAGCGATTGCTGCATATTACAATTATGAAGTATGGCAGATGGACGTCTAAACCACCTTCCTCAATGGGATTTTGGAAGAAACTGTGTATATGACACAGCCTGAAGGTTTTGTCGACCAGAATAATCCTAAGAAGGTATGCAAGCTTAAGAAGTCCATTTATGGATCAAAGCAAGCAAGCAGGAGTTGGAATCTGCGATTTGATGAAGCCATTAGTGAGTTTGGTTTTATCAAAAATCCAGATGAGTCTTGTGTCTACAAGAAGGTCAGTGGGAGTGACATCGCCTTCCTAGTCTTATATGTCGATGACATTTTGCTCATTGGAAATAGCATTCCATTGCTAGAGTCTGTAAAGACTTGGCTCGGGAAATGTTTTTCAATGAAAGACTTGGGAGAGGCTTAGTACATATTAGGCATCAAGATCTATAGGGATAGATCAAAAAGGATAATTGGAATGAGTCAGAGTACTTACATCGATAAGGTACTGGCTCGATTCCAAATGGGTAGGAGCCAAGAGAGGGCACCTACCCATGTCACATGGGATAACCTTAAGCAAGAAGCAGTGTCCAAAGACACTTGATGAGGGAGAAAGGATGAGTCGAATTCCATATGCTTCGCTTATTGGATCGATCATGTATGCCATGATATGTATTAGGCTAGATATATCGTATGCCTTAAGTGCTACGAGCCGATACCAATCAGACCCAGGAGAGGCGCATTGGACTGCGGCCAAGAATATTCTAAATTACCTAAAAAGGAACAAGGATAAATTCCTGGTTTTTGGTGGTAAAGATGAATTGGTTGTTGAGGGATATACTGACGCAAGCTTCCAGACAGACAGAGACAACTTCAAGTCACAATCAGGATACATATTCTGTCTCAATGGAGGAGCGTTTAGTTGGAAGAGTGCAAAGCAAAGCACAACCGCTGATTCTTCAACTGAAGCCGAGTATTTGGCAGCATCTGAGGCAACCAAGGAGGCAGTTTGGATTCGCAAGTTCATTGATGAACTTGGTGTTGTACCCTCCATCAAGGGTGCAATAGACCTCTATTGTGACAACAATGGAGCTATTGCTCAGGCTAGAGAGTCATGGGAACATCAGAAGGTCAAACATGTCCAGAGGCGATTTCACATGATTCGAGAATGGAAGTCAGAAGGTGAAATCAGAATTTGCAAAGTTGGAACGGATGACAATGTAGCCGATCCACTTACTAAACCTTTGTCTCAAGTGAAGCACAACAAACACATTCAGGCAATGGGAATCAAGCATGTCATGAACTGGCTTTGAATTCCATTTTATAGTGTTTTAATCAAATTTTGAACAATGTTGATGTAAAGCACCATGATGAACCATTCAGTTTTGGAGTAATTAAAATTTTCATGCAATTTAAATCACTCCGTCTCTATTTAATTGTGGTTTAGAATTAAATAATGAGTCCATTCGATTTTAATAAATATTCAAAATAGGGTATCAAGTCAATGGCTTGGATAAAGAAACACCTATTAAGTGAACATTGAATATTTTAATCAAAAATTATCCCTAATCAAGGTCATTATTTTGTGGACGATTGATGACCATCAGAGATTAGTGTGTAGTATAATTTGTAGCACCGTTTCTTGTGCTATGAGGATATAAATCACTTGCACAGGTATTGGTTTAGAACCATACTGGATCGACCTATGAGGATACTTTAAGAGATTTAAAAATCGTCATAAGTATTTTCTCATTATTACTATCGGAACTCTTTTCCTTTGACCATGAGTAGTGGGAGATCTCTTGTTTGAGTACTAGTCCACTTTGGTATCCGCCAAACGTCTGCCGTAACTGGGGATTATAAAGACAAATATCGGGCGGGTGAGTTCTCTTAGTAAGAGAAGCTACATTACAAGACTGAAAATGTCCCCCTACTAACAATAGGGAACATGTCTTGTTGTTTACAAGGCCTCTCGAAGAGCGAGACTGTGAAAAATGCATGGCCGTGCTCAGATGGATTTTAGAAATCATTTGCTTATTAACAGTCAAACTCGGATTTTGAGAAACACTTTTGGACGTAACAAAGATGACTAGTAATCTTACTCTGTAGTTCATGAAGAGACATAGGATAAGGGCTATACACTAAATGCACACTTGTCCGGATGGACAAGTAGGAGATTGAAAGGAATGGTGTCCTTCGAACAAGTGTATTATTCTGATAGCGAGTTCAAAATTATTAGAAAGCTAATATATTTAGTAAGGTCAAGTGATCAGAATGCCTGGGTAGAGGCCGCTTCTGATCAGTAATATTAATATAATTAATATTACAGCTTAATCTTGATTGAACCCTTCGGGTCACACCCAAGCAAAATATACGAACCAACTCGACGAATTAATTCGGAAGAAATTAATTCGTCGCCCGAGTGTTAAATATTTAGACGTCGGTAATTCGAGCTTAGAGCGTCGAAACCGATCGTCGGAAGTCGAGTCTGAATGATAAGAGACGAGATAATTACTAATAAATCAACAAAATTACCAAAATACCCCTAGCATCGAGAAAACCGAGTGCTAGGGGCAAATGGCCTAGCAAGGTGGCTAGCAAGCGCACCAAGCTGAGCCTAGGCTGGCTGGTGCGTGCTAGCGCGCCTTGGCTAGCTAGGCTGGCCAGCAGCCCGCACATGTGTGCGTGGTATGCTAGCAGGCCTTGGCCAGCAGCCAACACAAATGTGCGTGGCGTGCTAGCAGCCTCGGCTAGCAGCCCGCACAATGTGCGAGGCATGCTAGCAGGCCATGGCCAGCAGCCCGCATGTTGGTGCGTGGCTTGCTAGCAGCAGGCCTCGACCAAGCAGCCAACACACATGTGCGTGGCCTGTTGAGCATTAGGTATGGCAGCAGCGAGCAGCCCACACTTAGGGTGCCTTGGTGCCTAAGTGGGGGTTGCCATGTGGCGCAAGGTGAGGGAGAGAGTGGGGAGCAAGTTTGGTCCCCATCTCCAAGTGGTCCTCACCTACTCCCTCATGTATGCTTGACACTTGTTGATTTATTACTAGTTTGCTTAATAATTTTATTTTAGCTTTAAAATAAAATGTGAAAATCTCATTGTCCCACATTGATGGGAGAGATTTTCATACTCTCATCATTCCCTATAAATACCCAACTTGGGGCATTGGAAATGATGCTTGAGTGGGAGTTAAAAAGAGCATTCCATAATTTTGGGAAAACTCTTAAACTCATATAACACTCGGGTTTTGGTCGGACCTTGCTAACCCCAAGGTAGCGGACCTTAAAGTTGTGTTCGCCTTTTGTGGGTGGATACCGTCAGAGGCGCGACGCTTGACATGCTCGTAGCTTTCAAGTAAGAGCCCCGGTTTTTGGGCGAAGCTCGCTTCGAGGGTAAGATTCGTTATCTTTTCCTTGTGATTATTTATTTATGCTTTATGATTTTAATTATTGCGAGTGGTTCCTCGGGTCGGGGTTTGTTTCTGCGGTGAGTCGGACTCACTAAACCCCAACAGCGGTATCGAAGCCCCGCTCGTTTATTTTTATGATCATGTTTTTCAAGGTTTATTTTGGCTTATTTTTCCGGTTTAAGTTACTAATTAGATTAGTAGCTCGGTTTTATTTATTTTAATCCCGTTTTTAATTTCGAGTTTGGCCTAGAACCCAGATTTTCGCATAAGACTAGTGAATTTTGGGTGGAAAACGTGTTTTGGAAAGGTTTTTATCCCTAAGGGATCTGTGATTTAAGCCAAATTCTGACCAGAAATGCCTTTTTCGAGGGGTTTTTCGTTTTTGACGAAAAATTTTAAGTCTTTTCTAACCTTGAAATTAATGGCATAAATTGTTGACGAAAAATTTTAAGTCTTTTCTAACAGGATGTCGGTGGTCCGCCTCCGAAGATTAAGTTAGTACGGTATTCGAAGTAAAACATGAGGAAATAAAGTTATCTGCTCGAATTCCATGATTAGGTGTTGTGCTGTCTGTTTCTTGAGAACGATAGCTCTGTATTAAATGTTGATGTGACGTCCCATACAAATGAGGGAACTGTCACTATTTATAGGGTCAATTGGGGAAGTGTGCCTTCCCTAAAATTTGATGACCTAGGGACAAAGGCAGGCCGTTTTGCGGCGCCTCAAAGTTTTGGCCTTTGAAGACCACCATTTTAGAAGTGATATCTGAGTGACACGTGTCACACATCTTGAGAGGCCATTTGGGCGTCTCTTAGGGCGATATGTGTCACAATCTGGAAGGTCCAAGGTGGCGCCCCTTCTAGTGACACAAGTCATGCTCTGTTTGGGACACTTGGTCGAGTATAAATGCGGTTACTGTTGATTTCTGGGCAAAATTAGAGCTCGATGGTTCCTTCTGCTGCTATTTCTGAGGCTTCCGTAGTTCCTAATGACTCAAATCAAGTTCTTGAAGCTTTTGCTGAAGAATGGAAGGATTTATTCAAGGGAAAACTCAATGTAAAAGTGACCTCTCTGTCTTTCATTGCTCATAGAATCAGGGATGGTAAATCGATTGCTAAGCTTAGCTCTGCTGATATTTGTGAGGGCAACAAGAAATGGGGTAATGCTCTTATCTTCTATGTTGTTGGTTATTCTCCTACTATTTCTGCAGTTCATAAGTTTATTGCTGATAATTGGAGTAATATAGCTAAACTATACATTTTTTGGCATGATGAGGGATATTTTATAATTAATCTGAAATCTGATGATGATAAAAATGCTATTTTATGTTCTGATCCTCACATGTTCTTTGGTAAACCAGCCATTGTTAAAGCTTGGTCTGACAAGTTTGACTTTCATGCTGAAATATTGAGAACTATTCCATTATGGATTAAACTTCCTAATATACCATTGAACTGCTGGGGAGCTGAAACTCTAAGTAGAATTGACATTCTACTTGGTGTTCCAGTCTGTGCTGATGAGTGTACATCTAGGCAGCTTAGGGTTTCTTTTGCTAGACTTCTTGTTGAACTTGATGTTACTAAGCCCCTGGCTAATTCTGTTTGGGTTGAGAGCCCTGCTGGTGAATTGATTGAGATTAAGGTTCTTTTTGAATGGAAACCACCATTTTGCAAGAAGTGCAATAAGGTGGGGCATGAATGTGTTGCACCTCAAAAGCCTATAAAAAAAAGAAGCACACAGGTGATCAAAAAGCTGCTCAAACTCAGGTTAAGAAAGTGTGGGTGCCTAAGCAAGCCAAACCTGTTGAGAATAAAGCTCCTGAACCTGTAAAGGTTACCCCAGAACCTCAAGTTCAGAAACCAGAAGAATGTTAAGTTCCTGGCAAATAATCAAAGAAGAAAGCTAACAGGCAAATTACTTTCCCTGTTTCAAGCTCAAACATATCTTCCTTTGGTTGATGACAGTGATGATGTGGTTGATATTGTTAATGAAAATGACGATCCTAGCAGGGGTGATGATAATCCCTCTTTGGGGAAATGATAGTCTTCTCCTGGAACATAAGGGGTCTTAATGACCCTGGGAAGATAGTTTATGTCAAGAAGCTACTCTTTGATCAGAAGATTGATGTTATGTGTCTTTTATAAACTAAAGTTAAGCAAAAAAAAATAGTGTGAGTGTTCAGAGGAAGTTAGGCATCTCTTGGTCCTGGCACTGTAACTATTCTCTCTCACCTAAAGATAGAATTTGGGTGGGATGGAAGGCTGAGTGTCTTACTTTGGATGTTCTTTCCTCTACCGAGCAGTTTATTCACTGTTTACTCAGCACTAAGGATCTGCAGACTCAAATTATGATTACTTTTGTGTATGGTTTACATACTATTCAAGACAGGTTATGTACTGGAGACTTTAATTCTATTTTATCTGCTCATGATAGGCTAAATGGGGCTTTTGTCTCTGAGTATGAGACTAGAGACTTTAAGCAATGTATTGATGAGCTGGCTCTTATTGAGATCAAAAGAAAAGGTTCTTTTTACTCTTGGTGTAACAAAGCTCATGTGGGTCCTAGAACTTTTTCTAGGATTGATAGAGGTTTTGTTAATCAAGAGTGGATTAACTGGTATGGTCATGTTGAAGCTATGTACTTACCCCCTTCTTTTTCTGATCATAACCCAATTGTGTATGAAATCTTTCATGCTTTGCCTAGGAAAAGGAGACCTTTCAGGTTTCTCAACTGTCTAGCTGAGTATGACAGCTTTTTGTCTGTTGTGGAAACTGCTTGGCAAAACTCTGGTTCTGGAAACCTTATGAATGACATTTGGTGTATGCTCAAGCATGTTAAAGCTGCTCTCAAATCTCTGAATACTTAGAAAATTGGTGACATTAATGCAAAACTTGACTCTACTCAGGCTTAGAACCATCTCACTGATATCCAGCAATAAATCTCTAGTGATGTCACTAATACTGATTTGTATATTTTGGAGATGGAAGTTATTACTACTGTGAAACATTGGTTAAGCATTCAAGAAAGTTTCTATAGACAGAAATCTAGGATTGACTGGATGTAGCTTGGTGATAGGAATAATCATTATTTTTTCTCAGTTATGAAACAAAGGCAAAGCAGGAATAGAATTGACACTATTTATACTGAACATTGTGTTCTGCTGAAGACTCCTGCTGCTATTGAAGGTGAGATTACTGTTTTTTATAAGAAGTTGCTAGGTTCTAAAGCTTCTGTTTTTCTTGGGGTGGATCTGAATACAATGAGGAAGGGAAGGCAGTTGTCTAGAGCAGTTCAAGATTCCCTTATTGCCCCTGTAACTATTGAAGAGATTGACTTGGCTCTTAAGGGTATTGATAATACTAAGGCTCCTGGGATTGATGGATTCAATTCCTTGTTCTTCAAAAGAGCCTAGAACATTGTGAACTCTGAGGTTTATGCTGGCATGATGCACTTTTTTAAAACTGGCAATATGATAAGGCAATGGAATTGTACTACTGTTACCTTAGTCCCTAAGGTGCAGAACCCCTCTTATGCCAAAGATTACAGGCCAATTGATTGCTGTATAGTCTTGTATAAATTGATTTCTAAGATTATGACTACTAGGGTGGAATTTGTGCTTCATGAGATTATTGACAGTGCTCAGGCTGGGTTTGTTCCTGGCAAGCATATTGGTGATAACATTCTGCTTGCAACTGAATTAATAAAGGGTAACAGCCACAAGTACATCACTCTAAGGTGTATGCTCAAGGTTGATCTTAAAAAAAACTTATAATTTAGTTGAATGGAGCTTTCTTGAAACTTTATGGCTGAGCTTAGCTTTCTTGCTCAGTTTATCAGTTGGATTAGGGGATGCCTTTCTACTATTACTTTTTCTATTTTGATCAATGGTGTCCCTTCCAAACCTTTTCCAGCTAGGAAGGGCCTTAGACAAGGTGATCCTATGTCCCCCTTCCTTTTTGCAATTGGGATGGAATATTTATCCAGGTGTCTTTTTGAGTTGAACCAGAATCCTGACTTCAATTATAACCCTACATGTGAGAAAATGATTTTGATTCATCTCATGTTTGCTGATGATTTGCTTATGTTCTCTAGGGGAGACTTTGGTTCTGTTTATCTTCTTTTCCAAGCCTTCTCTAAGTTTTTTGAAGCTTTAGGACTTTCTGCAAATTTGGATAATAGTGAGGTCTACTTTGGTGGTTTAGCTGAAGATGAGCAGACTATTATTAGATCTTTTGTTGGTGTTGCCCTGGGAACATCCCTTTTAGATACCTTGGGGTTCCCCTTTCTTCAAAGAAACTCACTATTGCTCAGTGTAAACCTTTGGTTGATAAGGTAACTACTAGAATCAATGGGTGGGCTGCCAGGGTTTTGTCTTATGGTGGTAGGTTACAATTGGTGAAGAGTGTCCTTTTTGGTATTCAAACCTATTGGGCACAAATTTTTGTCCTTCCCAAGAAGTTCTAAAAGAAATTAAATCAAGATTTAGGGTCTTCCTTTGGACTGGGAAAGCTAATCCCTCTAAGCAGTCCTTAGTTTCTTGGTCCCAGGTATGTCTTCCCAAGGTTAGTGGTGGATGGAATGTTATTTCTCTCCTTAAGTTGAATCTTTCTGTTATTACCAAACTCCTTTGGGATCTGGCCTACAAAGCTGACAATCTTTGGGTCAAATGGGTCCACACTTATTATTTCAAAGAGAAACCTTGGTGGGGTGTGGCTGCTCCTAAGAAATGCTCTTGGGTGCTTAAAAGAATTTTGAAATGCAGGGCTATCATTGACACTATTGACAATTGGGATTCTATAATGCAATGTGGCAAAGTTAAGATCAAAAAAATCTACCAATGCATCACCTTACAGGCTCTAAGGTTGGGTGGAGAAGAATAGTATGTAATAATGCTGCCTCTCCAAAGAGTTTATTTGTCACCTGGCTTACTGTCAGGAACATACTTTTGACTAAGGATAGGTTACTTAGTTGGAACATCAACTGTGACCCTCTTTGTTTTCTTTGTAATCAGAGTTTTGAAACTGTGCAGTACTTGTTCTTTGACTATTCTGTTAGCAAAACTGTGTGGGTGCAGGTTCTTCAAGTCTTGGGTAATGAGAGAACTATCTGTCAGTTTGATGCTGAGATGACTTGGGTTTCTAAGGTTTGCAGGAAGGTTAGACCTAGGAACAAGTTATTGGGGATGTGCTTTGCTGAAGTTGTTTACCATATTTGGTTGTAGAGGAATGTTGTGATCTTTACAGGTGTGCTTTGCTGAAAGCTGTTTACCATATTTGGTTGCAGAGGAATGATGTGATCTTTACAGGAAGCTACAAGCCTGCTGATTATGTGATTAGAGATATTTTGTTTTCTGTAGCCTGCATATGTTCTAAGGCAGATAGACATCTGTTTATCCTGTAATATTTTTTTGCTGTTTTGGCTAGTTTTGTTTGTAGTTCTTTTCTGCATGTTTTCTGTTGGTTTCTTCTGTCTGGTCCTGGTTCCCAAAATCCTTCGTAGAAGTTTGCTGGAAACCTGAGTCTAGTAGGTGCCCTTGGTCTCCCTTGAACCCTTCCTAGAACGTGGCTAGGTTGATCTTTGGGCTGTTGGTGGTGGTTTGGCCTGGCTTAGGTCTTTTGGTGCTTTGTTGTTAGTTATAGTTTAGCTTCTATAAGTTGTAACTGCCCTTTTTGGTAATATAATCCCTATTTACCAAAAAAAAAAAAATCTTTTTGAATGAAATAAAAGTAAAAAAATTCAAACAAAGCTAATAGAATCAAATAAATGTAAAACACATTCAAATGCCTTTTGAATCAAATGAAAGTCAAATGCATTCAAACAAAGCTTTCTAAATCAAATGAAAGTCAAATGCATTCAAAAAAGCTAATTGAGTCAGATGAAAGACTAACATATTCAAACAAAGATTTTTGAATAAAATGAAAGTGTGTGCGTTAAACAAAGCTAATTGAAATATTTTAAAGCTTAACAAATTCAAACAAGGCTTTTTGAATCAAATGAAATTCAAATGCATTCAAAATACTTATTGAGTCAAATGAAAGTCAAACACATTCAAAAAAAGCTAATTGAATTAAATGAATGTCAAAAACATTAAAATAATGCCATTTGAACCAAATGAAAGTCAAATGCATTAAAAAAGCTAATTTAGTCAAATAAGAGTTAAACATATTCAAACAAAGCTTTTTGAATAAAATGAAAGATAAATGCATTTTAAAAAACTAATTGAGACAAATGAAAGTCAAACACATTCAAGCAAAGCTTTTTATAATCAAATGATGTGAATCAAGCTTTTTGAAAGTCAAATGCAGTGGAAAAATTCTTTTTGAAACAAAGCTTTATTTGAATGCATTTGACTTTCATTTGATTCATAAAGCTATTTTTGAAAGCATTTGACATTTATTTGATTCAAAAGGCATTATATGAATGTGTTTGATATCCATTTGAATCAATTAGCTTTGTTTCAATGTGTTTGACTTTCATTTGATTCAAAAAGCTTTGTTTGAATAAGTTTGACTTTCATTTGACTTAATTAGCATTTTGAATGCATTTGACTTTCATTTGATTCAAAAAGCTTAATTTGAATGTGTTTGACTTTCATTTGATTCAAAAAGCCTTGTTTGAATGTGTTTGACTTTCACTTGATTCCATTAGCTTTGTTGAATGCATTTGACTTTTATTTGACTCAAAAAGCTTTAATTTGTTTGAATGCATTTGACTTTCATTTTATTCAAAAAGCTTTGTTTGAATGCATTTGACTTTCATTTAATTCAAAAGGCATTATTTGAATGTGTTTGACATTCAATTGATTCAATTAGCTTTGTTTGAATGTGTGAAGTGTATATAATCCCTTTAACTTAATAAATGATCTACAATCACACCCTTAGAATAAAACTTTGTTCTTGGTCGGAACTTCGAACCAAAAACGATTGAAAGTAAACGGATATGACCTTGAAAACGACCACTCCTGGAACAAATTCAATGCCTAATCAAACTACTTAGCCTACGCATAGAACTAAGTATTTTGATGAACAAATCTTAGACTACTCCTAAAACTAAGAATTGCACCGTCTAATTATCAAAACAACTCCCTTAATTGAAAACTAGCAAGAAAATGTTTAAACAAAGCTGAACATTTTTTATTGAAATTAACCTGATTTTCCTATGTCATGTCATGTCTCTAAGAGCCACGAAATTCCGCTATTTATTGACTAAAAATACCTACAAGGATTAGGACGAACCCCTAACCTTGCTCTGCAATTATCCTAACTAGAATAGAAAACTACTTCTAATTAGAATAGGAAAACTAATCCTTAATAAACTCTAATTGACTAAAAACATTCCTAATATACTTAGGAACTTTATAGCAATTAAATAATTAGAAAATAAAGCTTATCTTAAGTTCTTACCAACAAAAACCCTCTCAAGTGAAAGGTATAAACCTGGAAGAAAACTTTAGAAAAAAAAAACTTAAATATGGAAATTTATCCATTTCACATCCCCGCCAAAAAACCACCACACGCACCACCATAAGTGACACGCGCCACCCCAGCGTGTAACAGGGTTCAGTCTAGTGCCAAGGAGCCGGCGCGTGGAGATCGGAAGCGTCGTCGGAAGTAAACTACTGCACTTCTCTTTCCTTGGTGATCAAGTTTCTTTCTTTCTCAATTGATCTATTAAACCTTCCTTTGTTTATTCCTTGCTTAGGCAGCTTATAACAAAGCTATTTAGACCTTCTAAAAGTACATTAGATCCTTCAAAATAATTAGTCTCTTGATTCACATCAATGTGTTTGACTTTCATTTGTCTCAAAAAGCACTGTTTAACTAAGTTTGCCTTTTAATTTACTCAATTAGCATTTTTTAATGCATTTGACTTTCATTTGATAAAAAAAAACTTTGTTTGAATGGGTTTGACTTTAATTCCATTCAAAAAGCCTTGTTTGAATGTGTTTTGCTTTCATTTAATTCAATTGGCTTTGTTGAATGCATTTGACTTTTATTTAATTCAAAAGCTTTGTTTTTATATGTTTGGCTTTTTTTTATTTTTTGGTAAATAGAGATTTTATTACCAAAGAATAAGGTTACAACTTACAAAAAAAAAGCTAAGTTGTAACTACCCAAACACCACAAGACCAAACTGGCCAACCAAGAAACAAAACAGATTCCAGCCCAAGCCTAGCAATCTTCTAGGAAGGGTTCTAGGAAGGACCAAAACAAACTACTGGACTGAGAAACTTAGGCACCTTCTAGGAAGGGTACTAAGAACTAGGACCAGGACAACAAACCTAAGCAGAATACATTAAGTATCTATCAATGCTATTACATTTGCAAGCAACCAGAAAAGTAATCTCCCTAATCAAATCAGAATCTGATTTAAAGTTTCCTATAAACATTAAAACATTCCTCTAAAGCCACACATTATAGTCAGTTTCAGAAAAACACATCATAATCAGTCTTCTCTTGGCATCAGTTTTCCTGCAATATTTTACAATCCACTGCAGCTCATAAGCAAAGCTAAGCACATGTCTAGTGAAACCGAGAACATGTATCATTGAAGACCAGATCACCTTTGAGTAACTGCAATCAAAGAACAAATGGTTCACAATTTCATTAGCACCAGCACAGAAAAAGAAACAAGGGTCACAAGGGATCTGCCAGACTAATAATCTGTTCTCAGTGACCAATCTGTCCAAAATAGCAAGCCAAGAGATAAAAGTGCTCTTTGGTGAAGCTTGATTATTGCAAGTAATTCTCTTCCAAGGAACTTTAGGACCCTGAGGCTTAATGATACTGTACATTTTCTTAATCTGCATCTTTCCATTGATAGTAACATTATCCCATCCACTAATGTCATTCACAATATCTCTAGTATCTAGGATCTTTTTTAAAATCAAGGAAGCCTTTTAAGGGATAAGAGTAGTCCAAAATGTCTTTCGTGCAAAATAGTAAATGTGAACCTATTTTACTCAAAGGTTATCAGATTTGCTAGCAAGGTCCCAGAGCACATTAGTAATAGTTGCTTTATTCCATTCTTCCAAGGTATTCAAGTTCCAACCATCACAAAACTTGGGGAGGCACATAAATTTCCAGGCAACAAGAGCTTTCTTTGTGGGGTTACCTTTCCCAGTCCATAAGAAACATCTGAATCTGGATTCCATTTCTCTAATGATTTTCTTTGGTAAAATAAAAATCTGATCCCAAAAAGCTTGAACACCAAAGAGAACACTTTTAACCAACTGTAACCTTCCAGCATAAGACAGATACTTAGTAGCCCAAGTGTCAATTCTGCTTGTAACCCTTTCAATCAAGGGTCTGCATTCAGGAATAGTGAGCTTTTTAGAGGAAATGGGAACACCCAACTACCTAAATGGGAGAGTACCATTAGCCATTCCAAGAACCTGCTGAAGCTCACATATTTCATGTTCCAAGATGCTCCCAAAGTAGGCATCACTTTTATCCAAAGTTGCAGACAAACTAGAAACTTCAGAAAATTTCTGAAAAGCCTTAAAGTGAAGCTTAATAGAACCCAAGTCAACTCTAGTGAAGAGCTAATTGAGTCAAATGAAAGCCAAACATATTCAAACAAAGCTTTTTGAATCAAACGAAACTCAAATGCATTCAACAATGCCAATCGAATCAAATGAAAGCCAAACACATTTAAACAAGGCTTTGTTAATTAAATCAATGTCAAACACATTCAAACAAAACTTTTTGAATCAAATGGAAGTCAAGTGCTTTCAAATATTCTAATTGAGTCAAATGAAAGTAAAACTAATTAAAACAAAGTTTTTGGAATAAAATGCAAGTCAAACACATTAAAAAAAAACTAATTGAATCAAACGAATGTCAAACACATTCAAATAATGCCTTTTTTTTCAAATGAAAGTCAAATGCATTCAAAGAAAGCTTTTTGAATTAAATAAAAGTAAAATGCATTTAAAAAAGCTAATTGATTCAAATGAAAGCCAAACATATTAAAACAAAACTTTTTAAATCAAAAGAAAGTGAAATGCATTCAACAAAGCTAATTAAATCAAATGAAAGCCAAACACATTCAAATAAGGCTTTTTGAATTAAATGAAATTCAAACCTATTCAAACAAAGCTTTTTTAATCAAATGAAAGTCTAATGCATTCAAAAATGCTATTTAAGTCAAATGAAAGTAAAACTAATTCAACCAAAGCCTTTTGAATCAAATGAAATTCAAACACATTGAAACAAAGGTAATTGAATCAAATGGATGTCAAAAAATTCAAATAATGCCTTTAAAATCAAATGAAAGTCAAATGCATTCAAACAAAGCTTACTGAATCAAATGAAAGTCAAATGCATTCAAACAAAGCTTTCTGAATAAAATAAAAGTCAAATGCATTGAAAAAAGCTAATTGAGTCAAATAAAAGCAAAACATATTCAAACAATTCTTCTTGAATCAATTGATAGTTTAATGCATTCAACAAAACTAATTGAATCAAATGAAAAAATGAATGTCAAACCCATTCAAACAAAACTTTTTTAATCAAATGAATGTCAAACTCATTCAAACAAAACTTTTTGAATCAAATAAAAGTCAAATGCATTCAACAAAGTTTAATTTAATCTAGTTAAAGACAAACTCATTCAAACAAGGCTTTTTGAATCAAATAAAAGTCAAACACAGTCAAACATTTTTTTGAATCAAATGAAAGTCAAAAGAATTAAAAAATGCTAATTGAGTCAAATGAAAGTCAAACATATACAAACAAAGTTTTTTATATGAAATGAAAGTCAAACACATTCAAACAAAGCTAATTGAATCAAATGAATGTCAAACACATTCATATAATGTCTTTTATATTAAATGAAAGTAAAATTTTCTCAAACAAAGATTTCTGAATCAAATGAAAGTCAAATGCATTCAAAAAAGCTAATTGAGTCAAATGAAAGCCAAACATTTAAAACAAAGCTTTTTTAATCAAATGAAAGTCAAATGCATGTAACAAAGCTAATTGAATTAAATAAACGACAAATACATTTAAACAAGGCTTTTTGAATTAATTGAAAGTCAAACACATTCAAATTAAGCCTTTTTCAATCAAATGAAAGTCAAATGCATTCAATATGCTAATTAAGTCAAATAAAAGTCATACTTATTCAAACAAAGCTTTTTGTATCAAATGAAAGTCAAACACATTGAATCAAAGCAAATTGAATCAATTCGATGTGAAACACATTCTAATAATGCCTTTTGATTCAAACGAAAGTTAAAAGCATTCAAACAAAGCTTTTTGAATCAAATTAAAGTCAAATGCATTCAACAAAGCTTATTGAATCAAATTAAAGTCTATCACATATAAACAAGCCTTTTTGAATCAAATGAAAGTCAAACACATTCAAACAAAGCTTTTTGAATCAAATGAAAGTTAAATTCATTCAAAAATGCTTATTGAGTAGTATGAAAGTCAAAGTTATTCAAACAAATATTTTTGTTTACAATGAAAGTCAAACACATTGAAACAAAGCTAATTGACTCAAATAAATGTCGAACACATTCAAATAATGTGTTTTGAATCAAATGAAAGTCATATGCATTCAAACATAGCATTCTTAATCAAATCAAAGACAAATACATTGAAAAAAGCTAATTGAGTCAAATGAAAGCCAAATATATTCAAACAAAGCTTTTAGAATTAAATAAAAGTCAAATGCATTTTTTTTTTTTGGTAAGTAAGCAAATATTTTACTATAAAAAACTGTACAAAATGTACAAATTTACAAGCCTGTCAAAACAGGCAACTCCAGAGCTACACAAGAACAAAAGGCCACACACACACCAAGCTCCTAACTCGTAAGTTGCCACCTTCTAGGTAGGGTTCAACTTAAAGAGAAAGGATCAACCTTATCAGAAGTAGTTTGCTGCCTTCTAGGAAGGACACAAACACACAACTGAAAAGGGAAATAAAAAAAACCACCCCAACAAACACAGACATCCCACTTAGAGCTAAACAAAAGACTATCAAAATACAAACAAGCAGACAGGCCAGACATGCTACATGAACTCAAACCTCAAGACTGCTTGAGATTATACAACCATTTACAAAGTCTACAACTTTCCATTTAGAATCAATAATCTGCTGAACTCTGCCCAAAGCTTCAACCCTAATAGCTTTAACAACCAGATAAGGGTGCAGAACAACTTTATGCCAAAAAGCATGATTCCTAGCTAACCACATATGGTAAATCAAGCCTGCAAGCACTGCCAGAATCACACCTTGCTGAATTTTGTTTTTACTAGTTTTCTTCCAATTTTTCCAAGCATCTTCAATGCTAGTGCTATTAACAGTAAGCCCTGGTGAAGGATAATTAGGTCGTTGGACTAACTACCCTCAACCAAACAATATTTATAAACCTAGACCTACACTAAACAAGTTTAGTGGTAAGTAGAGGGTCGAACCACGGAGACGACATAAACACTATCAACACCACCATCAATTAAGCTAGGTCAAAGAGATAGGATGGATAGAACAATAAACAAAATGAGATTAATATTAAGTTAAACTAACACCAAGGGAGAGGGTCAAACATGACGATGATCTTCAATAAAGTTAGGCAATGGAAATGAGTTTACATGCAAACAAAATATCTCATATAAGGCAATACCAACAATACCATCTAACCACCTATCGGGGTCAAAGGCTTTCCCAACTTAACACATGCTCATACTATCGTCATAAGCTGTGAAAGTCAAGGTTTTTGCATAGAATCGATCACCTAATGGATATCCCTAAGTTACACTATCGTCATAACTTAGTTCAATCCACCCAATTACAACACATGATTGGCCATTCACATGGAGTAATTAGTAAAACATGGTTACAAGGTATATTTAATCACATATAACCAACATTTGTCTAGCCTAATACATTCCACCACATGCTATCACCAATCCCTTAGTAAAGGGAATTACTCACTAATCATGAATAACTAACACAAAACCCAGTAAGAAGAACAAAGAGAAGCAATTAACTAAACAACTACTCTAATCAAGTAAGAAATTAAGAAAGAACAATAAATGAGATAGAGTTTAGAATGCTCATTGAAGTATTGAAAAGGAATCCAAAACAATGTCACTTTGCATCTTCATCTTCTTTAATCCACCATTGAAACTCTTCACTTTCTCTCTCTAAAATACCCTAAATTACTCTTAATCCACATTACAAAGTATAAAAACAAAGATTAAATCTAAATCTAAGCCTAATTTATGTGAAGATTGAAGGAAAGATGTTAGGGTTTAACCCCTCAAAGAGGAGAGAGAAAACCCCCCAAAGAAATCCACCATCAAAACTTCCCCAAAAATAGGAGAGAATCGGGCTAAAAATAGAACCACAGTAGAATGGCGCGCCCGCGCCAATCTGGGTTTCGGCCTGGCAGCGACATTCAAATTAAAATATCCATAACTTCTGTTCTAGGAGGCTTCTTGTGGCGTGCGACCTATTGTTGGAAAGCTCTTCAAGTCTAATTTCTAACGCAAATTGAATCACCTCAATCCAATGTGTAGATAAAAAGTTAAGGCTAAAAGAGTGAACAAAGGTCGGTTTTGGAGTTCAGGCCCTTGCGCTCCCGCGCCTATCTTAGGCTCTCCCGCGCCTATCTTAGGCGCGCCCGCGCTAAGCCGCGCCCAAATCGCGCCTACATTCTGCCTCCTTCAATATTTTCGACCCCAATGTTAGGCACGCCCGCGCTGGGTTTGGCGCGCCCGCGCCATTCTGAAAGCGCGACCCGCGCTTTCTGCATGGCCTTGCTTGCTTGCTCCTTAACTTCCTTTGTAGCTCTTCAAATGAACTCCAATTCTCCAAGCTCTTCATTCTATTAAAATCAACTCCAAAAGCCTACAAAACACGAGGAAAAGCACAAAAACATAATAAAGAGATAAACGGAGCAAAAGGGGTACAAACAAGGGACAAATGTAGAAAAATACCGCGATTAGAGGATCTAAATAGTGACATAAATGCCACTTATCAAATTCCCCCAAACTTGCCTCTTGCTTTTCCTCAAGCAAGAACAAAAGCAGAAACAAAAAGAAAGAAAAAGGATCTAATAACACTAAAAGGAGAGGGGTGAAAAAGAATATACAGTAACTCAATTTCGTAGGAATCATGGATGTTTTTAGCGTAAACAACAAGCCATTTAAACCTCAAAGTCGCCTATGAGGACGAGTGTGATCTCGTAAGGGTTTCCAAAGAGTTTAACCCATAACTCTACACATAAAGCAACACAAACAAGACAATGCATAGACAAATAAAATAAACACAAAAACAAGACGTTCTTGGTGGACTTTTTGGAACGAAACAAGCACCAATGAATGCACAACTTTCTAAACAAATAAGGGTATGCACGTTCCAAGATGTTTAGGGTTGAAAGAAACATAGACTAAGCTAAGCATAGAGAACTAAGAGCCGTACAATTCACCTTTCATCCCAAACTAGCTAGCCGCGTTCTCTCCACTAGCTTCAAGTCAACCATTAGGTGGGCTTCTCATGGTTCCTCGAAGGAACCGGAAAAAGATAAAGA